CTTAGAGGATCCATGCATGTCCTTTGGGCATCGTTTTGGCTTTTAACAACGTCTGTTGTCCTGTGTTGCAAAGCGGTGCCGTTTGTATCTATGTCCCAACAAGTGCCTGCATGCTTTGTGGCTGATAGCATGTGTGGCAAAAACGCATGAGACACCACGCTTCCCAGCAAGGTGTGAATGCGAGGCCACTGTATCTATATCACATGAGTGCCTGCGTTCTCTATGGCTGATCACCTGTGTGCAAAAACATGAGACACCGCGCTTTATAGCCCATTGCCCACCCAGGTGTGCTATGCCAGGCCACCATGATGAAAAGAAAACTCGTAGCTCGGAAGTTTCCTCACCATGATGAAAAGAAAACTCGTAGCTCGGAAGTTTCCTCTTCATGAAACAAACGAAAAAACAATCATGAGCACACGTTTTGTTTGGAAAAACGTTTTCGACCCTTGACACACACACATATGTGCCACACGTTTTTGATCGTTCTTGTCTTTTTCGATCTTACGTTCCTATGTGGAATTGTGCAAGTAAAAGGTTGTGCCAACCGACGCGCGCCCGCGTTCGAGAAGTCACTGTGCTCGAGCTTGCTAGTTAACCGCCCTACAGCAAGGTGTCACTTGCCATCTGAGGTGAGGGTTAGCGGGGTATACTGCAAGACCCCCCCTTACAACCCCAAAGTGCACTAGCGAAGCAGGGCCAGCTCAGTGCTCAGTTTTTTGCCGAGCCAATGGATGCCGTCGACCATGGTCTGCATTAACCTGAGCAGGACCGGACCGGCGCTAGCAATTGGACTTCGTAAACGGACGTGCTTTCGGTTTGTGTTTTTATAGATCTGCAAACAACATGAAGTTGAAGAGTTTGCGCATGCAGTTTTGAGATGATGGCACGCATGTTGCTTGTGTGGTTCACGTCGCGCGCAACTCGCCCATCATCAGATCCGTGGTTCCAGAACTGGGCATTTTGAATAGAACTGTTAGTAGGGTCATGGCAATGCAGCTCGCGCTCGCCCCATGGAAGAGCACCAGTCGCTCCTTCGAAAAACCGTCCGCGTTTCGATCCCTTTCCCCTGCAATCGGGTTCCTGTCTTTGTGGTTGCATGTCTTAATTTATGTTTATTTACTAAATTCTTCAATATAACCTTTTTCCCATCAGCCTGTCTCACCTGAGGGCCTGGAAAGGTTGCCTGGACTCGCGCGGATGTTCAGACGCTGGCCATCCAAGTGAAGCAGGGCCTGCCCCTCGAGGTGACACAGCTCTTGACCAGCGATGGGTTTGCTGGTGGGGCTTTGGTGCAGGTGGACACTTTGAGCTCGGCCAGAGCCGAAGACCTGGTTTTGAACTATCATTGGGTGAGACCTTTCGTACAGCACTTCCGAGATCGAGTTCCTTCTGGTTCTTTTGTGGCCGATGTTTTCCTTTTCCTGGACACCCTCTACCAGGGGAAAGCTTTGAGGCCCACCTCTAAACAAGAGACGAAGGAGTCCATGGCCGCTGAGGAAGGCAAGCGAACTAAGATCTTGATTGGTTGCTTGCGAGCGCTGTGGCGGAGCAGCGCTCAGGCTATAGTTTGGAACCATTGTTTTTAATTGACTAATAGGAATATACTGTATTGGTTTGTTTGCCTTTGAACGACCTTTTGACTTTTGACTTTTCTGCAGTCGACGCATTGTTTCCATCGATCTCACCAATCTCACCTCAAGGTCTTTCGGACATGTTTGGACATGTTTGGGGGCCAACACTTCAGGTAAGACAGCCGCAAGTCACCCTCGCATTGCTGAGCTTAAAGCAATGCTTGTTCCGTCGCCCACGAGGACGAAGGCAAGGTTTCGAAACATGTATACGAACCAGGTTGTGATGTGTTCAAAGCAAAAGTCCACCTTGTCTGTGCAAAATCCGGCAAAGGTCATCTAAGATAGGTCATGTTTGTTCACACGCTTTGTAATGCCTTTGTTGCAACTTTCTGTTGACTATACCAGTTCATCGCCAGATCTTCCTGTATCGTTTTCACACCTCCTATATCATTGAACCCCTCTGCCAAGTCAGTTTCCAGGCCTGTCGCGCTTCTGCCGAGCAACCTCCAGATCATGATGGCCAATCCTTGGATCTCGATGGGCCAGCGGAGAACGATGTTGGGCCCTCACGATCGGATTCGGAGTCAGGGGATGAGGAGTGTCCGCCGCCCTTGGAAGGTCCACCATCCAAAGCAGAGGGTGACGATGAGAGTTGTTCTGGTTCCACCACATTGGAGCTACCAGGAAATGATACTAGCTCTGAATATGAGGGCCCATCATTCATGGCTTGTGGGGAAAAGGACGACTTCAATGAAACGCCTCACGAGAGCAGCGCCGAGGAGGCTAGTGGCCAGAGCCCTAGCGCCCAATCTCCAGTTGAGAAGACCCCCGAAAAGACCAACCCTTGGTGCGAAGAGCTGTTCAACACACCCATGACCGGTAACAGTGGCCCAAATCGGGCAGAGATCGTTGAGATGTGCATTGCCCTTATGGAGTTCTTCAGTAAGGAACACCCCGATATCATGAAGTGCCTATGATGCTATAGAGCAACATTTTCGGTTTGAGGTCTGTATAGCCACACCGTGCGACGTTATTGTAGTACCATGACAGGGCTTGCTCGCCTTCAGGAATTTCAACCTGGTGCCCTACTTGGACCATTGTGAATGGAGTTTGCTCGCTTTGGGGTCCGAGCTAGCTCTTGGCTTTCCACGCGCGAGTATTGGGATTCATGGTTGGCCCGATACGAGGAACTTGGCAACAAGGCGCTTGTATAGATGTTTATTCTCAAAACAACAGTGCCACAAGCAACCGCACTTGTAGGGTTTGGGGTGTCCTTCAACTGCAGGTGTTGACTCCAGAGCAAAGCCGCTATCTGGCTGGGGAGTGTCCGCACGTACAGGAGTTCGAAGAGAATTGTCGAAAGCGGAGGGTCGAGGCTGGCTGAATATATGTTTGCGCGTAAATGTACACAAACAAGTGAGATCACCTATTCAAACAGGCAAGTCGCTGTGAAAGGTCGACGAGCAAGTTTACTACCAAAACTGTGTTGCTGGCCTGAAACTGGTGTTGCTGGCAGGTGGAAGATGATGCCTCACCCTTGAAGAAGATTATGCGGAAAAACGCCTTCGTCAAGGAGGGTGGAACCTATTTGGGTCAGGCTGATAGCAAAATGCCTGCCCTGACAACACCGCCTCCAGCTATGGATGTTGTTTCAAAGGCGATGGCAGCTGATACAACCCCATCACCTATTGGTGTTCAAACGGCGACTTGCCCGTATTTCACCAAACATAAATGAGGAAGAAAGGGAGTACACGGGATTGGGTTGAGTGTATGGTTGAGGTCATGATTCCAATAAATTCCACTTATTGATTTTTCCAGTTCTAGCCTAGGCGAAGGGCCTGAAGCGGGCGCTCGCGCTTGGTGACGAGCAGGATGGTGGCGCGCCCAAGAAGCCCAAGAAGCCCAAGCAGCTACATGCTGACACGTTTAAAGGGTATAGTCTTGCTGAAATCCCTAAAGCAGCGTGGCCCCAGGAGGGCCCCAACAAAGGAGCCCATGGTTACACCGTCAAGGCTTCCAATGGCTCTGTGATCTGGCCAATGAAGCTCAAAAGTTTTCGTTTGGGGCTACTTTGGCCAAGTCAATTGCGCATGAACAACACCCTGAATCAGTTCTTTTGCAACAACCCGGAACTCCATTGAAGGTTAGTCTCGCAAGCCAGCTGCGCAGCATTTAAGGCAGTGGAAGTGCTCCTTCGCAACAAGGCTTACGTCCTCAAACGTGTGGGGGCTGCCGATGGAAACGAAGCTGAGTCCACGGGAGCTTCTCTGAAGGGCCGCCAGTACACATGGTCCAAACATGGTGGGCCAGAGAATGCTTGGGCCTGCGTTTGCGAGGCTGCCAAGTGGCCTGCATCATGAAATGAAATGTGTTTGCAGGGAACATCGGTGAACACTTCTTGACACCTAGAAGTGAATATTTGGGGTTTTGCAGTTGGAAGATTATGGGGCATGTAATCACCAGTCCTACTTCCAGCTGTAACTTGGGGCAAGGGATGCGCCAAGGACCTTAAGACCCGTGGCCCGTGGCAGCTTACCCTTTCGATCAAAACAGTCCTGCCAGACCCAGCGCCATGCTCAATCCAGCGGTTATGCAGGTTCGCAAAGAGGCGCCCCAATCCTTAGATGGTTTCGCATGTCCCGGCAGGATCCTCTTCACCGCTGCTGTCAGCTTCATCGTGGAGGTAGAGGCATCGTGGAGTCGTGGATGGTTTTCTTTGAGGACTATAACGGGAAGACCCGAAGTCTAGTTTTAGTTCAACTGTGCAAAGGCCATTCATGTTTTGATTCCAATGCTTAGGCGGATTTCAACCTCGTTTCCTTGCCCAGGCCTATCGCTTCAACTGCAGACCAACAGGACCCAGAAAGCTGCGTGTGATCAGTTAGCTCGGGTACGGGTAAGCCAATTCACCACTAGTTTCAGAGAAAATGAAGTTTCAACCCTTTAACGAGAAACGTGCAAACTTGGGTTCGATGATGGCATGGTTGCCCTACTAGCGCACGAAACAAACATGGGAACCTCTCAAGGAAAGTTTGGGCAACCCTCTTTTGGCCTGCTTGCGCAGGATTCCTTTATCCATCTTGGCCCACCTACTTCTTCATCCAGGAGGCCTGGTGAGTTTCGGGCAAGTTTGGCAGGTCAAGTAAGAGGGGTCACCATGAAGGATCTTGAGCGGTGGTATTATGTTTGTGTCCTTTTGACCTCTCTGCTATATTATGAAATGAGTTGATAATATTAAATGGACGATCGTTTATTAAGTAATCCCGCCCAACTGAATAGGTATTTGCCGAAGTTCAAGTTGAACATATCGATGCATTATATTTCACGATATAAAAGAAAATCTCAACCCAAGTGGGTTGGGTCGGGGATGTATTTCTGACCAAGGCGATCACGGCCATCAGTCGATGCCAAATACAGAACACCCAAAAACTGCCCATACCTCTCTTGGTCAGGCGCCGGGAACCATTTGCAAGAAGAGGCGCTCGGGCAGGATAGCTCAGTGCTGCAGTCAGGACTTGATCCTCGCAGGTCTCTGTTCACAGGTTGCGATGTAGCTGGTGAGAATCCCTTAAGGGTGAACTAGTTAGGTGGCCACAAGGTTCACGTTAATCAGCACCCGGCCTTTGCCTTGTTATGGTTCAAAGATTTGACACGGATCGCTTCGCTTTTGTCTGAGCCTTCTAGTGGTTTGGAAGCATGGGCAAGCCTGCTAAAGTTGCCCGCATCCCCAGAAGCAGAATGTCTTGCCAATCCAGGGGCAGGATGCCCTTCAAACAGGATCGAGAGTCCAAGGCCACTACGTGGAAGGACAAGCAACGTGCCTGCGTGTTTGCAGGGCTGCGGGCTATGCGAGCTCCGGCGGTGCGGGCTTCCCCAAGATGTCGTGTGTGTTTCTGTTGTTTGACCCACAAACCAAGACAAACAAACAGGCAATCCTTTGGGGAAGGCAATCATAGAGAATGAACCCACTTCAAGACTTCCCCTCCAGGTTCTGTTGACATTGTGCGCTTTAGTTTTCAGCTGCCCACATCTACGCTGGAACGAGCCAACTGACCACTTGGAGCTTTTCAGTGGCGTGTGCAGCATCACCAAGGGCGAGTGGCATGACCGAGGGTTGAAATCATGGTCGTTGATAGGATAAGTTTGAGAAGAAAAGGTTGTAACAAGTTGGTATTGGTGTCCCCTGACCCTGCAACCATGCCATCCTGGAGTCCTGCAGGAAAATCGCGAAGCGCTGGCAATGGACATCAACTTCCATCCTATCGAGCAGTCGATCATGACAAGCGTCGGGTTCTGCAATTCCTTGTTTCAAGTATTGAATGTAAAGCCAGGCGGCGGGATTTGGGCTGCCCCTGTTTGCAGCACTTGGGTTTTCATGTCCCTCAGCAAAAGACCAATACCTTTATATGTTTTGGAATCGTATAAATAGATCGCCGCCGAAGCCTTCTCACCGCCTATTCCTATGATACCTATGTTGTTTTGGTGGACTTCTACTGAGGTCCAGGGGAAGTACAAAGAGGACCAAGTTGAACCCTATGGGAAGCAACGCAGGGAAGACAGGGGAGCACAACATCATGGTTGGGAGGGTTGCAATTCTGCTAGCTTTGGCCGCTGCCAAATGCTGCTGGTGGAATATGGAACAACCAAAAAATAGCCTTCTTGAAGACCATGTGCTTTTCCAATCTTTCTTGAAGTTGAAGCAAGTCGCTGTGACCCGTGTGACCTGTTGCCTGGGCTATTTTGGAGCTGACACCCTGAAGCCTGTATGGATCTATTCCAGCAACCCACGGTGAGTTTTAAGAGAATTTTGCCTTTTTCACCAGCCCCTCTTTTCTGTAGTTGTTTTTCCATTCGTAGATTCGCTTTTATCTTACTGCCCTTAGCTGAGGCAATCCTGATGCTGAAAGCTTCAACGAGTATGCCAATAAACATCGGAAGCTGGTAAAGGCAAGCGAGATGGTTGTGCACTATACAGATAGCAACGGTCTTCAGCGCATAAAGGGTGGGAGTGACCTCAAGCAAAGCCAGGCGTATCCTTTGATGTTCTTTGGATTGATTTGAACAATTTCTTACCCGACAATCAAGTCACCACTCCTATTTGTTCGGTTCCAAAGTATCCTCAGAACATCTCCTTCTCAGCTTGAAACGGCTAGAATTTGGAAACCAAAACAACTTGGTTCCATGTTGGCTGCCTGGGGCTCCGTTTTGGGGGCGAGGGGATCTATGTACGGTCCTATGTGGGGATCCCTTCGCCCCCAAAACGGAGCCCCAAACGAACTGGACAATTGGCACTTGGGGGTGTGCTTTTTTTGAAAGCGGAATTTTGCAACCTCCCTCCATTCCTTGCCCTTCGCCCAGGTTTGGCAAGGCTGTTGCCAGGGTGCGAACCAGGTTCATGAAGGACACCAAGCGCAGGGCAGCTCGATTCCTGCGCGATGCAGTGAAAGACAAAGCTGGTGCTGTTAACCCCAGCGCGAAGCTAAACAAGCTTTGGATGACTCATTCAGGTCTCCAACCAATAATTGATTTTCTGGCAAAGCAATAGACCCTAGGGTTAGCTTTGCTTTTGTTGAGCTTTAGTAATTCAGTGGCTGTGGAATATCCACAGATCAATGTATGGGGTGGGACTTACGCGAGCCAGTCCTGAAGGGAAAACAATTCTTGTTGTGATGTGCAACAGGTCACTTTCCTTCCAGTTCTGAATAAACCATTCTTGTTGTGATGTGGAACGGCCACCTTTCTTGAACATTGATGCCAGTGTTCTGATTGCTGCCCACCGCCCCAAACCCAACAAGCCAAGCTGGGAGTCGGCTTGAAAGCTCTTGCAGGTGGCAAATGGGGAGATTGGTATTAAAGAGGTGTTTGTCGCGATCCCGAAAGCCTGAAGGCCGCCAGAACTGGGGGTGCAGGGTGCAGGGGGCATCGCTGGACTGGGGTTGGCATTTTTGGCAGGTTTGCGATACCAACGCGAGGGGGTTGAAAAAAAAATGAAAATCCTGTCAAGTTCACTCATGCGATTTGGAGAGACTTTCGTGCGATTTGGAGCGACTTCGTGCGATATGTATATGCCCCCTAATGTAGCCACTTTTGCTCCAGCTGTGTTCCAGGGTGATTCCCTTTTTGGATGGGGAAAGCCAAGAAAGAAACCGTGAAGGATGCCAAGGCAGTGCGGAAGTCTGCTTTGAGAAAGCCTGGCACCAGCGGCGCTGCCAAAGACGCTAGCAAACGTGGAAAAGCGATTGTAGCGGAGGTTCTGAGTAGAGCTCGCGCTGCTACCGCTGCAAAGCGAGACAAGGGGAAAGAGAAGGGCAAGCAGAAGGAGACGAAGAAGGAGGAGAAGAAGAAGGACGATAAAAAGGAGACGAAGGAGAAGGACAAAAGGGACAAGGAAAAGGAGACGAAGGAAAAGAAGGATGGTGCAGCTGCAAAAGAGAAGCAGGACAAGCAGGAGAAGGACGAGAAGGCAAAGACGCATGAAGGGCAGAAAGAGACCGCTGGCAAAGAGAAAAAGAAAAAAGATGATAAGAACGAGGCTGATGCCAATAGTGCAACTGCCAAGCGTTCTGCGATGGATGGGGAAGGAGAAGGCAACAAGAAGAAGAAGGCAAAGGCAAGTGCAGAAGAAAAGGAGAAGGGAGAAAAGCTGAAGGCTCTGCAAAGCAGGCTTCAGCAGATCGTGGCTCCAAAGACACCGCCTCCAAAGCGCGTGAGGATGAAGTCGCCTTCTGAAAGCGTTAGCACCAATGCTAGCGCTCAACGGTATGCGATCAACAAAGCCAAAGCAGAGGCGCACTTCGAGAAGATCAAGGGAAGCTTGGATTCTGCGCTCAAGGACGCAGAGAACCAGGCTGAATTTGATGCGCTTGGCATGCTAGATGTCTTGGACGAGTTGAAACATGGAAAGAATGATAAAAAGGAGAAGACCGCTGAGAAGGAGACGAAGGCCAAGCCAAAGATCGAGGCTGAGCAGAAAAAGGATGATGAGCGAAAGAAGGAGGAGGAGGCTGCCGAGGAAATGGCGCAGGAACTAGAGGATGAAGC